CCCACGCCATCCACCCAGAACTGAAACAATGAGACCTGGGTGGAGCTGGGGGGCCCGTGCGCTGGCAATGGTTCCTCCGCTCAGCACGCAGGTCATTGTGCGTCCTCCGCCTCCCCACTCACCTGCTGTGTATAACAAGCTATTGTTCGGGCACCTGCCAGACTTGGCTATTGTCTCCAACCTGACGGCCGCCTCCGCCCATTAACCCCTCGGCTGCCGCCCGCCAACGGGGACCGCATTCATTATATACATCCAGCACTGTGCAAACGTCCTAGGCCCCTGGGGTACCATCTGGGGGGGGCCACACGTGGCCCTTTGGTTCTTGTTGTGTGGCCCCCCAGATCCCAGCGGTCAGGGGCGGAAATGCTGATCTGTGAAGGGGCCGCGGTCTCTAGCAGTCTCGTATTTCACGTCCCCGACTGTCTCCTGCCGGGATTTGCTGTTTCTAGAACCTCGGCCGTCCGGCTGTTGTGGAACTACAACTCCCATCAGGCACTGCAAGACTCTTGACAGCCACAGGCATGACCCCCCCAGGGGCACAGGCATGTTGGGATTTGTAGTTTCACCATGAGGCCGAGGTTGCCTACCGTAGAAGATGGATTTGAATGAAGAGAACATTTGTTTGGGGGTGTCAGTTCCTCTCACAGGAAGTGACGAGGACTCGCTGCCTCTGGCGGGATCAACGCGGACTGTCTGTATCTCCCGGGGTGACAACGCTGCTCCTCCATAGATACAGCGCAGTGAGCGTTGTCACCCCAGGACAGGAAGTCTCAATTTCATGTATTTCCCGTTTTAAAAAGAAACTAAAACTTTATTGTATTTTATGCATATACAATGTGATCACTGACTCCCCCCTCCCCCTGATACAAATGTGTGACACTTCCTGTCCTCTACTTCCTGTAGGTGGTGCGCTGTGTACAGCACAGGAAGAAGATGCGCCGGAATCGCCTGTCTAAGGATCAGCTGAAGAAGATCCCCATTCATAAGTTTAAGAAAGGTCAGTGCGGGGGGGAGGGGAGATGGGGGTGGGGAGGGAGGATTAGGGGAGGGGCAATATTTGCTACTTTGTGTGTCCATTGGACAGATTTCCCCTCACTTCCTGTCTGGCTTTTGTCGGACAAAACAGGAAGTAAAGGGAAATCGCATCTGGGCCGGTCGGGGACGTCTTCTTCGACCCGCAACTCTCAGCAAGTTCGACCACGGCAACTGCTGCTCGGTCTCTGCTAAAGGTGGCAACAGTTTCTAACAGTCGTGTGTAACAAAGAGGCGATCTCCTAACAGTCTCTTGCAACACGCTGGCAGTCCCCGTTGGTCTCCGGTAACTGTGTAAAGGAACCTGCTGTGTGTGTCTCTAGTAACATGGCAGCCGTCACACTTAGCAGTCTCCTGCAACGTATCGGCTACTGCCGAGTCATTTGTAACATGTCAGCAGTCACTTAGCGTTTGCCGATACGTTACGGGAGACTGCTAAGTGACTCCTGCAATGCTACAAATGGTTTGGCACCAGCTCATATGTTACAGGAGACTGCCAAGTCTCTCGTAACAAAGCAGAAGTCACTTAGCAGTCTCCTGCAACCTTAGCAGTAAGTGCCAAGTCACTTGTAACATTGCAGCCGGCTCTGTGGCCTCTTCTAACAATACAGAACCCCTAACAGTCTCTTGCAGCATGACAAGTCTCTGGTTACATGGCAGCAGACACTTTCTTGTAACACAACAGCAGCATCTAAGAATACCCTGTAACACGTTTATAGTCTCGAAGAATCTCTTGTAGCACGATGGAAGCCACCAACCGGGTATCCTAGCACGGCCGTAGCCTCTAACAGTCACTTGTTACATGATGGAAGCCTTCCACAGGGTATCCTTCCCCGGCCGTAGCCTCTGACAGTCCCTTTTAGCGTGTTCGGATACCCTGGTGGAGGCTTCTAACATGGCGGCAGTCCCTTCTAGTCCCCCTGTGACAAGGCAGCAGCAGCACTTAGGAATCCGCTGTGACCTGGACTCTCTTGCAGAACGATAGAACGGGTTATCTTAGCATGGCCGTAGTCTCTGACAGTCCCTTCCAACAGGGCAACAGCATCTAAGAATCCACTATAGCCTGGCCATAGTCTCTAACAATCTCTTGCAGCACGATAGAAGCCTCCAACGGGGTATCTGAGCATAGCTGTAGTCTCTAACAGTCCCTTGTAACGGGGCAGATTTTCCCCCCAAGCAATAGAAGAAACCGTTCAGCTGCTTTCAGATAAAATGTCTCCGAATTATTATTTTTTTGTGAGCTAAGGGAAAGGGAGTCTCTAATTTTGTCCTTGCTGTCCTGTGCAGGAGACCCCTATGAAGTGTGCGCCATCTGCCTGGAGGAATATGAAGAGGGCGACAAGCTCCGCGTTCTCCCGTGTTCGCACGGTAAGACCCCCCCATATCCCGTCACATGTGGGATTTGGTGTTTGGGATATACATGGGACGTTTCCTGGGGGCTGGGTTGAGTCGATGATGTCATAGCTCCTCCTCTCATTGCAGCCTATCACAGCGGTTGCGTGGACCCCTGGCTGACCAAGACCAAGAAGAACTGCCCGGTGTGCAAGCACCGCGTCCTCCGCTCGCAGGACGACTCGGACTCGGAGGGAGGGGGAGAAGAAGCCGGCGGACGGGGAGACGACAGCGACAACGAGCGCACCCCCCTGCTCCGCCCCTCCCCGTCCTTCGGGAGCATGGCCGAATCTCCGCCACCCACCCAGCAGGATGAGCCGGAGGCGGAGTCCCCCACAGCGGTCGTCGTGTGAGACCGCCCACCGCGGATCCAGACTGCCAGGAACCCGTCTCTGTGTGTGAGGCGGACGCTCCGCCCGGAGCCCCGTACTCTCGTGACTCCCACCCGTCTCCATGGTAACCCTCTGAGGTTCCGGGAGCCAGTCTTTCCCTTCCTCTTCCTGAACTCTATGATTCTTTGTTCCCTCCCCCTTGTGTGAGGTTTGTAGCCCGTAATTCTCCAAATCTTTTGGTTGTTGTTTTTTTTTTAAATTCCTCCCATTTGACTATTCGGAAGGACATTGTGAAGGTCGAACGCGCCCCGGACCGATCTTCCCATGTGGAGTAGATCCGGCTTGGTTGAGGCAAGCTCTGGTCACCACCGTACCGGGAAGGTTCTCATTCATCCAAGTCCATGGTATGTCTAGCAGTCATTGGTCACATGTTCTGCAACCTTGAAGACGTTGCGCAACCTATTCAAGAGGCTTCCTCAGTTCTCACGTGTCGGGAACATCATCATGGCTTACATGTGAGCGCCACACCAAGGAGTGTACCATGCAACCAATGCAAGAGGCTTTCTCCGTGGTGTACTGCTCACTTGTAAACCATGATGGTGGTATGTTCCCGACACTCGCACACGGAGTGAACCATGCAACCTATCTAAAGAGGCTTTCTCCGTTCTCAAGTGCGTCGGGAACATACCACTATCATGGCTTACCACACCATGGAGTGACCCATGCAACCTATTCAAGAGGCTTCCTAAGTTCTCCAGTGTCGGGAACATACCACCATCATGGCTTCCAAGTGAGCACCATACCACGGAGTGAAGCATGCAACCTATTCAAGAGGCTTCCTCAGTTCTCCAGTGTCGGGAACATACCACCATCATGGCTTCCAAGTGAGCACCATACCACGGAGTGAAGCATGCAACCTATTCAAGAGGCTTCCTCAGTTCTCAAGTGTCAGGAACATACCACCATCATGGCTTCCAAGTGAGCACCACACCACGGAGTGAAGCATGCAACCTATTCAAGAGGCTTCCTCAGTTCTCAAGTGTCAGGAACATACCACCATCATGGCTTACACGTGAGCACCACACCACGGAGTGAACCTTGCAACCTATCTAACAGGCTTCCTCAGTTCTCCAGTGTCTGGAACATACCACCATCATGGGTTACAAGTGAGCACCGCACCACGGAGTGAACCATGCAACTTATTCAAGACGCTTCCTCGGTTCTCAAGTGTCGGGAACATACAACCATCATGGCTTACAAGCGAGTATCATGCCACGGAGTGTCCATGTCGGCAGCTGGAACCACCCAAAGTCTTCTCATACCCTTCAACTCCATTGGTAATATCTCTGCACCCAAGTTCCCGGCCCTTACCACTTCCTGTACCCGAGAGCTGTCACCCTTGACCTTCAAGATGCCATTTAATGGAGAAGCCCGGCTGCACTCCAAAGAACATTCAAACCCTGGTAACATCATACATATGGACAACATGAAGAGGAGCAACCATCCGGCACCTCCTCCTCCTCCTCCACACTTCACCCACAAAGCTGGGCTTAATCGTAGAGGCTGACCCCATTCAGGTCTTGTGAGCAGTATACGCCATACGGCCACCATATAAATGAGACTGCAGGGAGCAGGCGGAGCACCGAGATGCCATGATGAGAAGGACAGGGCGGAGCTGGGAACACCAGCCTAACCATCTCCATAAGTCAAGTCCCAGGCTGAAGAACGGTCCACCATGCCGGTGTCTGCTTCTGGAAACGCCAACCCAATGACCTCCATAACTCTAGTCCCAAGCTGAAGAACGGCCCATCATGCGGGTTTTTGAGAACCAAGCCGGTGTCTGCTTCTGGGAAAGCCAACCCAATTATCTCATATCTCGAGTCCCAGGCTGAGGAACGGTCCGCCATGCCAGTGTCTATTCAGCACGGGGCGGAGCTGGGAACACCAACCCAATGATCTCTGTAACTCTAGTCCCATGCTGAGGAATGGTCCACCATGCGGGTTTTTGAGAACCAAGCCGGTGTCTGCTTCTGGCAACACCAACCCAATGATCTCATATCTTATCTCGAGTCCCATGCTGAGGAACGGTCCACCATGTCGGTGTCTATTCATCACGGGGCAGATTTGCCTTCACTTTTCTTTTGCTGCTGCTGTCAGTGGGTTCCGTTATAATATGGATATAGGGCGAGGCCCCTTCATCATAGAGCTCATATCAGGGCGGCCCGGAGGTGGCCCCCAGAGGGTGTTGGCTTCTATCATGGGGGGTGGGGGGGGGGGTGTGTTTTGCACTCTTAATGATCTCTGTAATTAATCTGTATCTGACTAATTACCCTGTACAGGTTTTTATATAAATGAAATTTCCTAACGACTGACGGCTCTTTTCGTTTTATTTTCCCCAAATTGACCCGTTTTACAGATTTGTATTCGGAGGGGTTTCTGGGGCCACCAATAAATGTGACGCTGAAGTCCGGACCAATGGTGAAATACCAATGGGTTTTATCATCTCTCCATCCAGCGACCTCAACTTTTTCTCCATTGCCCTAAAGAGATCCAGATTTGTCCCGCCCCTTCCTGTCGTGTAAATGAAGGTGTGGCTTTAGACTACGGAGCTCATCTTTCTGCTCTCTCCTCCTGTCAGTGCACTTGCCCTGCAGCAGACCTAATAGGCCTTAGTGCTGCCCTTCCTTCTCCCAGTCCTGTAGAAGGCCAATATACAAATGTAAAGTGGAACTTCGGGGTTATTTTTAGAATCGCTTTCCCCGTCTGTGTATAAGAGTTCCCCTTAAGGACAGAACAATACTGTGTCCTTCTGCCAATATACTGTGAGCCCAACCGGTCACCTACCCCTACCCCCGCCCTGCTCGCAGGGGGGTGTCCATCATGCAGGCTTGGCTCACAGTACTCCAGGACTGAGTAGCACACACGTCATTACTGCTCAGTCCTGGAGGAATGCCCTGCCCCCCACCCTTACCACCGGAAGATGAAGACTCTCATGTCATGTGTCACCATACTGGCTTGAATAGTGCTGAAACATGGTAACAAATGTGGGGGGAGGGGACTTTGGATAATGGGGGGGAAGGAAGGCAGGCAGGCAATGGGGGACTTTGGGTCATGGGGGGGTGAAAAGGCAGGCAATGGAGGATAGGTGTATGATGGGGGACTTCGGGTCATGGGGGGGGGGGGGTTCTGACACTATCGCTTGTTTTTTTTATTTACCTGCCATTCACCTTTTGAAGTATACCTATTCTTAGCAAGGAGCCTCTAACCTGCACCTGGGATTGTACAACAGCCCTCCCCTCCCCCCGCTGCCCACTGAGAGGCCCTGAAACATGGCTGTCTATTATAGCCAGGAAGGGAAGTCAAAAGCTGGCCATCCCTTTACCACCCCTTGACCTTCACCAATGGCTGCCGAGTGGGATGGGCGGCCTCGCTGGCCAAAAGCAAAGTGCGGGAGGAACAGGCCAACCATCAATCCGTATGAGAGAGCGCTCAAGGTTTGGGGGGGATTCCGGTGCACCAGGAGGGGCCCGCTGTACACTACCAGGGGCATGCTAAGACGACTTGTCCTTAGTACAGTCCGGAGAGAAGCCCATCTTTCCTCCTGAGTGCCATGGTGGTCCAGTGATTTCTATGTCACATGACCAGAGCTAGTATGCAGAACTACTATTTTAGGAATTCGGCGAATATCAAATGGTTTGATGGGTGGGTGGCAGTCCAGAGTAGTGGGCATGCCCAGGCTGGTTCTAGTTGGGTGTAGACCTCCCTAGGTGCTGACATGTGATTGAAAGAACTGAAATCCATTGAATGAAAGGGGCGGGCCAGTCATGCTGGGGAGGAAAGATGATGCTGGACGTCCTCCAGCCAGGAAATGAGGTGGGCCCTATCTGACTTGCTGCCGACAGACATGAGACCATCGCTACCCATCCAGTTCAGGAGACATCTGTGAGAACAAACCTTACGGCTCGTCCGTGGTCCGCCATCTTGTGTCTACTAGCCCCGAGCTGATCTTTCACCATGAAGAGCCGTATACATGGCCCTCAGGTCTGTCACCAGCTCTCCTCACTTCCCAATCGACCTTTGACCCAGCCCATCCCATCGGTCTATTCCATGACGATGGCACGGTGCACAGCCTTATGGTTATGCTACTCTATACCACATTCCTTGCCTTGGTAGACCGTGCAGGGAGAAGGACCCGTCAGTGGGATCTGCAATGGATGCAAATTGGCTCTTCAAGATCATCTTCCCGGTTCACATTGGTTCCCTCCGCAGAGAGAATCCGGCTGATTCATTTATAGCTGCCCGGAGCTTGTGTCAACACGAAGTGACCATTTCAACCCAGGTAAATAATGTAACTAAGTGCCAGATATACGCGCTGCACCTTGGCAAGCCCATAAAACAAACACGGATCACCACCATTATCCCTCAGGAACCTGATAAGAGCACAATGGTCTCTGGCTGAAGGTCAGGGTGAGCTCTGAACATGCTGCTAACCAGCAGAGGGCGTTGCCCCCCCTACAAGAGAGTGCAATGTGCATAAACCACCAGCAGGGGGCAATGAATGGCAGAGGCCAGTGCATCCAGACCACCAGTAGAGGGCAGCAGCTTCCAGGGTGGATTCAGATCCTGTTACAATGACACCTGGAAGTGAAGGGGGAATATATTACAATGACACCTGGAAGTGAGGGGGGATATACTACAATGACACCGGGAAGTGGGGGGGGGGTATATTACAATGACACCTGGAAGTGAGGGGGGATATACTACAATGACACCGGGAAGTGGGGGGGGGGTATATTACAATGACACCTGGAAGTGAGGGGGGATATACTACAATGACACCGGGAAGTGGGGGGGGGGTATATTACAATGACACCTGGAAGTGAGGGGGGATATACTACAATGACACCGGGAAGTGGGGGGGGGGTATATTACAATGACACCTGGAAGTGAGGGGGGATATACTACAATGACACCGGGAAGTGGGGGGGGGGTATATTACAATGACACCTGGAAGTGAGGGGGGA